ATTAACCAACTAACAGTGGGTTTCTGACACCAAGTTTTAACAAAATATAGATAACAATATATTTCAAACGGAGATTTTAGTCTCAGAAAACAACGATGAATCAACAAGAAATTTAAATAATGCATTATTAAACAAGTTCTGAATTTATTTTTTACTAATATAAGCTAGTTTTAAGTCGACTTATAGCCTTTTATTATAAAATTGCAGTAATTTGATACGTTTTAATAATATTACTATTGAAATTCATTATATTTTATTATGTTATTGCTTGACATGGGTCAGGAATACAACATTGGAATAAACTGTCAACCGCGACTTCGTCTGCGCAGGATTAAAAAAACACTAGTAGCCTATGTTTTACATCTATAACAAACATCTAGATTATTATGCCGTTCCGGATGTACCTATAAAATAAACATTCATCCAACCATCCATTTAAACACATGTAATTTGTGATAGAGCCCGCTTTAACATCTTCGTTGTATCATATTACGTTGTAACATAAATTGCCCGATCAATAGTTCTAAATAGTGGTACAATTAAATTGTTAGATGTAATTATTTTGCTTGTTAATTAAACTTGATATGGTAGCGAATAATTGTATTCAGTTTGTTTCATCAAAATTTGATCAGTAGTTTGAAATTACTAATACAGAATTTATGGCCTCAAAATTATTGCCTACTAATTATTCATTCTATTTAAATTTATGCAGCTAATTTGCAAGATATATAACAATAATTACAGTAAAACAAATATTCCTACGATTCTGTCCACGTGGATTAAAAAAAAACTTAATTAGTATGCCTATTTGTTCTACCAGACTATGTTCTACATCTATGCCAAATTTCAGCGATATACATGCAGCTGTTCTAAAAATAACTTCTAACAAACATACATCTAAACATTCATATTTACATTATACTGGTGGTCGTCCGCGACTCTGTCCGTGTAGAGTTAAAATAACAATTAATAAGTAGCCTATGTGTTCTTCTGCTTTCCTACTACCTTCAAACTAACATACATCCGTCCATTTATGCATTCGCATTTATAATAAAGATTACCGCTAGGGTACAAGCAGACGTAATCAAATATAACTCTATTCTAAAGATATTATTAATATAGTATTCGGTGTCAAGGTCTCCTGGTTTATTCCATTGATTTTGGACTTGTTATGCAAAATATTTGTTGTTTATTTTTTTTGCTAACGCGATATCGATTGTCAGTATTATTAAAAAGAAGTTTGATGAAATGATATTCAGATAATACACAGAATTATAAAATAAAATATCATTTTTTTTATAAAACATTTTTTGATCAAGATCCCACCTGCCATAGACAAAGTAACATTCGCGAATTTGTTAATCGTAAAGTCAAAAATGTATGTCACATATTTCTGCTATACATTTTGACACATTTTGTCAATTCAAATAGCGATAATCGTTATATTATATAGCCCCTCTGTTAAGTGATGAACCAAAGGTAGTGTAGCCCTAGTTTGGTAAATGCCTGTTCACTACTCTTGAACTACTCCAATGTGTTATCCACTCTCATTTATATTTTCTTTCCTTCTAATATGAAATTGGGAAGAAGCGTAGAATTAGAATCGACACACTAATCAAACGAATAACTATTTTAATAGTGTTTTTTAATTCGTAATCTTCGTTGTATAAATATAAATATATATATAAATATAATAAAAGCGTCAATAGCCTAATGGTTAAGGGTACGGATTTCCGATTCGGTCGCGAGTTCGAATCCCGCCATTCGATTATTGCCGTAAACCATATCCTACCACAAGCCTAGAGCTTAGTTGGAATGGTAAAAGAAATATTAGTAATTTACTAAAAATCTGCTAATATTTTATAAAAAAAATTGGACAACCTGTTTTTATTCAGTCACTAGTTTTCGCCCGCGACTTCGTTCGCTCGGAATTAACATAAACTTTGCAAGTTTCAGACTGTCTACATTTATACCAAATTTGAGCAAAATCCATGCAACCGTTCTGGAAATACCTTTAAACAAACATCCACCCAAACATTCACTTCTTCTTAATATTATAAATGCGAATGTTTAGATGGATGGATGGATGTTTGTTTGAAGGTATCTCGGGAAAGACTGAATGGATATCGTTGAAATTTGGTAGAACATAGTCTGGAAGAACAGATAGGCTTATCTAATTTGTTTTTAATTCCGCGCAGACATAGTCGTAGGCGACAGCTAGTTTATTACATGAGTAAGATGGTTAATCACTCACCTACAATAGCACCAACATAAAGAAGAGAACCGATCCAAGAGACTTGTAATTCTGTGATCAGCTCAGGCAGTGGGGTTTGATCTGGATCTTGGAGTTTGGGTATGATAGGAGCCGACCACCCTACGCTGTACCCATCTATAAACTGTCCGATGTTTACTTTAAAAAAAAAAGAAAAAACAGTCTTATTATAGCAATCCTCATCAGACTGTAGGACAAGTAAACAGACAAAAAATTTTAGTCTACATAGCTAAGAAAATAGCTTCTTATTTTCTCAATATAGTTGTATTTTTCATATTTTAAAGTTTTAAACAATTAATCTAATATCTTGTTATTTTTAAATGCAAAAAGCCAGGTTAATTTCATTACCACATTTGTAAAGATAATATTAAAATGTATTTAAATGTTAGCATTTTAAATGAAAAATGTTTCGCAAAAATAAGTTATTTTACTAATATTATAAATGCGAATGTTTGGATAGATGTTTGTTTGTAGGTCTCCAGAACGATTAAACGGATCTCGATGAAATTTGGCATAAATATAAAACATAGTCTAGAAGAACACATACTAATTATGTTATTTATAATTTCGCGTGAACGGAGTCACGGGCGACAGCTAGTGTTTAAATATTAATAAAACGTTTTTAAATAATAAAAATATTGACTTACCACACGATACAATTAAGATTTGTGTCTTTAAATAAGAATCCATTGTTAAAAAAGATAAAAAAAAACTTAATTAAGAATAGAAAAAATCAAATTATGCCTTATCATTTAAAAAAGGAATAAAAAAAATCTGTACGCATTAGTATATAATTTGACAATGACCCCCATACATTGTTGTTAGCGTCACTGACTAAAATGCACTAAGCATAATAATGTTCACGAAGAAATAATAAAAGCGACAAGTAAAAACCGGCAGAACGGTGCAACATAAATAAAAAAAAATCCAAACAGTCGTACGCTTATTTAATATCATTATGTTAATAGGTAAAGCGAACACTATTTGTCCTTTTATAAGAAAATTACGCGAACAAATGAACGCCTTTAATAAACTTTACACAAAAAAGCCCTAATATTGCCCCTACGTACACACGGCAACTTAAATCTTTGAAACTAATATCGTATCCTTGTATCCCGAGTTGCGCGCGCTCCATGCACACAACGTTGAACTGTCGACGCACGTCTATTCGGTCAGCACAATCAACTGTATGTCTCGTAAAGAACTAAAAGAAATTATGCTATTAAGTAACTAAGTACCTATATATCAACTGCATAGATTTGCTCCACCACCTTGAAAATTGCAGTGACTTTTCTTACGACGATCTTGGACACCAAACAGGTTGTAAGCGACTATCTTTGGCGATAACAGAAATGTCGGCGACCCGTACTGTGTGCGAACCTTTATGACATTGAATTTCGTACGTCTTAGCGACTAATATCACCAAGTTTCAAAGATTTACGTTACCTTGTGTACGAAGGGTCTAATCATAATCGTAACATAAATATATAGAGAAATGGGTTTAATGAAAAAAAATTACAAACTAACATTGGTATGTACATATATATGTAAATATAAAAGATAAAAACAACATAGGTTATTATGACATTAAACAGGACCGGTTAGATTTACAAATAAGACTTAATTATTTAATTGTATAATTTAATTAAAGAAAACACTCCCAGTGCGAGTCGGACTCGCGCAACGAGTGTTCCGTACAAACCTGTAGGTATAAAATTATTAAATGATGTAATTAAATATGTAAATTTATCACGGTTTTCACAATTTGTTCTCTATCTGTACTATAAGATGTTGCTTCATACCAAATTTCAAGATTCTGAGTTCACTGGAAATATCCTATTGCTTTTGATTCCCTTGCGAGTTTATTAAACTACGGAAATTTGCGCCATAAACTTGTATCTTTTGATTGCGTTGGCTTAGAAGTTTGATTTTTTTCTCAGCACCAATAGACGGTAGACTTGAGTATTTGATATAAATTACAGCTTAATAATTCCACGAGTTTCTGAGAAAAATTGTTTTATAGATCTATCTATGAACGGACCTCAAAGTGATCTAAGGGTCCCGTTTTCTCCTTTCGAGGTACGGAACCCTAAAAAGTTTATACATGTTGGTTCCATTGCATTTCTTATCATTCTCGTTGAAAATGTTTGTTACTTAATTTCGTATATACTTAGTTAATATAAGTAAGATATTAAGGTTTCCATTAACGAAACATGTTCGTAAATTTACAACGAATACAGCATGCTTTGACTTTTAAAAAAACTATAATATTCTTTAGCACAAAATATGAGGTTATTTAGCATGCCACGTAATGTCTGTTAGAAATATGTTTAAGAGCGATTTATATATTGCCGATTTATATATGTAGGTACATTTAACCGATGTTCTTACGGTGAAGGAAAACATCGTGATGCAACCTGCACATATCTGAGAATAAATTCAAAGATATATGTGAGGTCAACCAACCCGTACTGGGCCAGCGTGGTTGACTATGACCAAGTCACCCTTGATTTAGGGTAGGTTCCGAGCCCTTTAGTGGGGACGTATAGTGAGCTGATGATGATAAAGTTTATGAAACGCCATACAAATGTTTGTATGGAGATCCTTTCAAGTAATGCATCAGAACATTAACAAGATAATGTAGCAACGGTATTTATTTATTTTTTTGCTAAAAAATTCAAAGTGAAAAAAAGTTGTCAAATTATTTTTTTTAAAATAAAACATCCAAAATAATATTTTTTTTTTATTGTTTACACAACACATTTACTCTACATCTACACTATTCTTTATCATAGTTACTTCGATATGAATTTTTCTTATTTATAAACAGTGGTAGTGACCCCTACTAACCTATTGGCGATTCTATAATATTTAGAATCCAATTTCACTTAGCAAATAGCAGCGCGACCACATTACATACATTGCTCAAAGAAAACAGTCGCTCGCAAAAAGAGGAACACCGCTAGCCACTTAGTGGCAATGAGGTTTAATACACAACTCAAAGTTTCATAAAAATACTCTAAAAGGGGTTACTTAGTAATAATCCAACGATACATATGACAATTATTAAAAACATTATTTTAAACTAACTCATCATATCTTGTATTTCATTTAAAGTCTTCCCTTTAGTCTCCGGTACAAAGAAGAATGTGAAGAAGAACGCAACAATACATGAACCCCCAAAAATCCAGAATGTGACGTCACCACCGAGTACGTCTATCATGCTATTGAAGCCAGTGGTAAGACCAAAGCCGACGAGCCACGTGAGGGTTATAGCAAGAGCGGAGCCATTCGCACGCACGTTGGCCCGGAACATCTCGCCGACTATCGCATTTGGTATCGTACCGAAACCTGGAATGAAAAGTGGTATAATCAGACCATTTGGGTATTGAGAGTACACGAAATGATTTGCATGCATAGTTGTTTAACAGTGATAGAGCCCTCTTTAACATCTTCGCACGAATTGGCCGGTTCGCCCGGTGCAATACCACGACCACACAGAGACTTTGAGTTTCTTTTGATGAGTGTGCGTCCCGGAAGCCTAATTTTAGTCCTCTTACCATTCGCACCCTTTTTCTTATAAGGAAAAAATGGGAAATAGAAAATCCTCCGTCAATTAGAGGTCGGCAACGCATCTACAATTGCGTATGTCTATAGGCAACGGTCGCTTCGCTATTTCCACTATTTCAGGTGGCCGCTCAGCCGTTTGCCACGTAATGAAAATTTACTTTTTTTTTATTAACTTACCAGCTTCATAGGAAAAGAAATAAATAATCAAAGCAACCAGCGGCAACCAGCCAATAGATTCAATGGCCGGACTCTTCACTCTGTCCAAATAGAAATATAATCCGAGTACGCCCTGGAAAATAATAAGAGCTATTGAAACTTTTTTATAAAGCCTGAAAATATTTAAATTCAATTTTACTTTAATTTTTTTTTCTACGATGTTTATTAATTTATTACTTTAAAATTATAATATAATACATTTTAGGTAATAAAATGTGTGTAAAATAAAATTCAGTATTATAAGAGTTTTTAAAAATTAAATCGCATTTTAATAGAATAGAAAATAGTTTAGTTAAAAAATTTATAATTAAATTTAAGAGAAAAAGTAAAGGATTATTAAAAACAAGTGAGCCCAAAATTTGTAAATGCAAAACACGTAACGTTATCAAGCAGTTAATTAGGTGATAACAAAAATCACGACCACGCACAACTCATATAAAGATAAGATAAGTATAAATTCGAACAATAACCGATAATCAATTAAATTACATGATAATGAACTGCAATGAACTACGATGTATCTTACTGCATTCAAAGATAACACCATTTCTTCGAAGTTAATAAGAATAGCTAGATGTATTTATATAAAACTAGCTGCCGCAGCGATTTAGACCGCTGGGAGTTAAAAAATAAATAAATAAGTAATCTATGTGTTCTTCCAGAATATGTTCTACATCTACACTAAATTTTAGCGAGATCAATTGAGCTGTTCCGGAGATACCTTCAAACATCCATCTAAACATTCATCATCATTATCATCAGCTCACTATACGTCCCCACCGAGGGGCTCGGAGCCTACCCTAAGTTAAGGGTGATTAGGCCATAGTCAACCACGCTGGCCTAGTGCGGTTTGGTTGACTTCACATATATCTTTGAATTTCTTCTCAGATATAAGCAGGTTACATCACGATGTTTTCCTTCACCGTAAGAACGTCGGATAAATGTACATATGTAAATCGGAAATCGAAAAACACATTGGTACATGGCGGGATTCCAACCCAGGACCTGCAGATTGCAAGTCAAGTGCTTGACCACTGAGCCACCGACGCACTTCTAAACATTCGCATATATAAGATTAGTTAGGTATATAGAGAAATCTAAAAGGTTATACTTACTAAACTGACAGCACAAGCAATCATAGACACCAACAAAAGAATCTTCCTTCCAGATCTTTCTACAAATGTTGGAGCGATCAAACTAGATACCAGTCTTGTTACTCCAATAATAATAGTTGCTAAATCAGGTCGTATACTTGATCCAGCTAACTGGAATATCGTTGTCGCAAAGAACAATACTACAGCCACACCACTTGTTTGCTGTAGAGCTCCCAATGTGAATGTAATAAACAAAGACATTCTGTTTGATTTAACGGTGAATATTTCAATCCAATCTTTTACTTTACTTGATGATTCACCTTTCTTATGTGCAAAGGTCTCTAAAACTTTATCTAAATCAGAAGACCTTCCTAATAAGTTGAGTGTTTTAGCTGCCATTATTTCTTGACCTGAAATTGAGATTGGGGATAAAATTTAAATCTCATGCTCCTAAGAAATCGCAGAATAATCAAGTATTTTACAAGCACTTTCTTCATAGCTTTTTTCTACTTATTGAAGTGCCTCTCCGTCTTGCGAAGTTTCGTCTTTAGCTTATAATATTTACTTAATCATTAACTTAAACCAATTCTTACCTTTCATAGCATAGTATACTGGTGATTCTGGTACGAAGAACAATCCAACTACATGCGCTATGCTCACAGCTAGTGCTATATACCCCGTTGCTACGTATGATACGTAAGGTACTACCGCGTACACTATTAATGTACCAGTTATCCCCACTATACCCGTAGATGTCAGTAGTATACCTCTTATGTTAGTCGACCTAGAAGATAATACAATTGATGTTTGAACAATGGTAGAGTCCGAAGAAGAAGTTGCTGCACGGAAGGCCTGCTTGAGAGGTGCAAAGTACCATAAGACATTAAGTGGACGTGATTCCCCGCTTTATCAGATGAGTGTGTAGGCCAAGCTATAGTCCTCTTCCCTTGCCCGCTCCGTTCTAACAAGTGGATAGGAATTGGACAATGCATCCCAACCTTACAATTTATTGGAGATGTTTAGTCTCCCTCTACGTTATTTTAGCGATACCGAGTACAAAAAATCTATGGCTTCAGAAACTTACGCTATTTCACCGACATATACAAGATTGCACACCGTTGTGATACCCATTCCAAGTCCGCTCATCACCCTTAACGCCATCACCATTGCAACATTTTTCGTGGTGATGACCAGAATATACGACAGTACATTTATGCATCCACCAATCAGCAAACAAGGTTTTCGACCAATCAGATTTGATAATATGCCAGTGACGTAAGGACCTGAAATTTGAGATTTATTTAAGAGTGGTAGATGCCAGCACATCTGTTGCACGAAGTGGTCGGCTGGGCTAGTGCAATATTACGACCACACAGAAGACAGCCGTTTAGCTAGTCCGCGTTTCTTCTTAGTGTGGTGCCAAAGTTCTGATTATTGTCTTCTTTCTTTTTCCACCCTTATCCTATAATGAAAGTATGGGAAAGCAAAGTGGATTTAACGTAGGTGGGGATGCATAGGAAGAGGATACATTCACTTTCTGTGAGTCCCCTTCTCCGTTTATTAAAGATCGACAACGCATCTGCAATTGCTGATGTCTATGGTCAGCGATCACATCGTTACTTCGGCGAATGCATGTAGCTTTTTCCTTTGTCAAGTAATAAAAAAAAGCGTAATTTAAATTGATTAATTACCTTCTGACTCATCTATAAAATAAAATCACGAAAACCCAAATTTGGTATAAGCTTGGATTATTTTGATATGTAATTCCTTTAATAACAATATTAAGAGATTACGTATTTAAATTTTAATCAGTCATAGTATTCGGTCATTTCTATAATATATATACTAACATCAGAACTCTCTATCTCTCACTCTCTCTCTCTAATTTTCTCTAAAACGGCTCTCTACATTCGCATTTTTAAGTAACGACTACATATCTGGTCACGATTATGTCCTCCGTGATGTAGTCCGTCAATAATAACCCTTGATAGATCCAAGAGTACGATCGGAGGTGGCTAACAAATTCGTACTTAGGTTCGGTTACATGGCGCATAGTACAATCGGCCCGAGCCATATGTACGTATAGTAAATAGGTCGGGATTCACTAATGTGGTGTTTTGCATTCCGGACTTGTAGTCTTCGGATTTCGAAGCGTGTGACAATGTAATTAACAGAACTTTGACTCTATGACTATATACGTAAGAGCTATCTTATCAAATATTAATTTTGATTATATTCTAGCTGTTTTCGTGATTAGATCATTATTTTTACGTTAATCGTTTATATAATCTAGGCGATTCATTAATGACCTGTTGTCGAAGGTTGTGGAGACGGTATTTGAAAAGTGGTGTTTAATATCCTTTTAGATTAAGTTTATTGTTCTCTATATGGCCTTGGATAAACTATGTTAAGTTGCGCATGTTTCATTTCCGCCATTTTGGTTTTGGCGGTTCGGTTGGTAGCGGTGTTGAAAACTCGAACTATGTAATTAATCGTGGCTTTCTGACACCAAAATTCCTATATATTTATCTCTGTTTTGTCTCAAAAACTCACGGTAATAGAGATCGTATTAGCCGTCAGTAATTTCCGTCAGCGATCTGCCCATCGGATTTATAGAAGTCTATAGTTAAAACTCAGAATCCTCGTAAACAACTTAATCGCATCTTTTAATTTATTTAAAAACTTTTGGAATATTCTATACAAAATTTTAATAACCATTTATTTATTCATAATGTAAAAACTTCCCATAAAAATGATTGAACAGACACGTTGTTGTACGAGAAAACTAACTCAATATGTCATACCTTAATTGACACTTTGAAATATTAGATGCACTTCTCGTCGGCCATAAAGATCAAAGTAAAAAAATGCAGTCTATAATTTTCATTTTAATCCAACTCCGAAAATAAGTCAAACAAAGAATCATTTTGATCGTCATAGCAGTGGTCATTACGATATTTTAATTCATCAGTAATTTTGTCAACCTTTTTGAGATAGTTTAAATGATATTGTAAAAGAGTAACTTTATTAACGCAAATATTTTCCGGAAATTAACGACAAATATACAGTTAATCTATGTTAATAACCTTTCAGATTTACAGTTGGTTAAAAATCTGTCTGTCTTCCATTATCTTTGACAAAACAGAGGTAACTATATGTTTAAACTGGGATTTTAGGTCTCAGAGACCCACTGTTATAAAATACATCTGATATTCAACTATTTGTTTGAAGTCAACCATTCTGCTCTTGGCCAGCGATTAATCCCTAGTCACCACTAACTCGATTATCCACGAAACTCTCTGTATTATTTGGACTTACCAATCATGGCTCCAATATAAAGCAGTGAACCGACCCATGATGCCTGAAGGTCTGTTATAGGTTCCGGCAAAGGCGAAGTTGTGTTGTCCTGTAACTTAGGTATGATAGGAGCTGACCATCCGACGCTGTATCCCACCACTATCTGACCAATGTTAACTGAAAACAAATAATAATAAAGAAAAGATGGTTCTGGAGGACGCCATGAGTGGATCATGGACAGATAGATGCTAACAAAATTTCAGCTTTTTTTTTTAATTCCAAAAGGGCAAAGTCTCGTACGATAGCTAGTGAATATTTTTATTACGTATTTGACTCATCGAATCAAAAGAGTGCCTCTTATGCAATCTTTTTATATATGTTTTAAAAATGGTAGAACCTGCTTTAACATCTTCGCACGAATTGACCGATTCGCTCGGTGAAATACCACGACCACACAGAAGAGAAGCGACAATTGGAAGAAATTCCGCGTTTCGTCTGATGAGTGTGGTACCGGAGGCCTATTTTTAATCCTCTTTCCTTCCTACCCTTTTTCTTATAAGGAAAGGATGAGAAGTGGAAGAAGATTTTCCGTAAGGATGCATGAGAAGGAAAAAATATTCTCTTTCTGTGCATCCTCTCCTTCGTCGATTTTAGGTACGCAACGCATTTGCAATTACGGATTTTTATTGTTAGGAAGAAAATCGGACACTGTGCCGGTGTACTGGCACAACACTAGCTTTACTAAAATCTCGACGTCTATGTCCCCTCACTAATCATTCTGACACTTGACTTTGTAATGAAAGCGCGCCATTCGCGCCAAAATATTGTACTTAATAAATGTGTAAAACTATGGGCAGCGAGTATTTAAAAAAAATAAAAAAGTGTAGGTAACTCTTTTCTTCGGATATGTTGTATTTTATAAAAAGAAATACTTACTACAGGCCACAATTAACAGCTGAAATTTAATCGACGTGTCCATCGCAACTGGCAACTTTTCTATTCTATCGTATTCGTACTCTGGACGTTCCATTTAATATTTAAATATTATTATTATTTTAAGATTAATTTCATTATTTTTTTTTCAATTTAACAAAGGTACAACTTCAATGAGGCACGAAATTGATCTAAATGGTTTATCAAATATTTACTGATGTTCGTAAATTCACCTATATATCTGGCTAGTACTTAATTCGTAACTGTAGATAGTAATTAATGATTAAAATTCAGTAAGTATAGATTAATTTCATGTGATAATATACATAAGTGATGTAAGACGGAGATGTATAGTTGTAGCACGCGACTCCGTCCGCGCGGAAATAAAAAAAATCTTAATAAGTAGCTCTATTTTCTTCCAGTATATGTTCTACATTCATGTCGAATTTCATCGATCTATACAGTCATTATTAAGATACTTTCTAACAAACATCCATACATCCAAACTTTCGCATTTATAATATTAGAAAGAGTAAGATTTGCTATCTTAGATTGAATAGGTTAATTAAATTATTTTAATATCTTTCTTTCTTAAATAACAAAAAATGATACTTTAAATATTAGTCGGCTATTTAGCGACAGTTACTAAATATTTAGATTTACCGGTAAATGGTAAAAATGAACATATCTTTTTGGACGTTTACCATAACTGGTTGATAACTCTTAATTTTTATTGGTTCGTGCTAAGAATTGCGTTTACAGATGTAATTCTGGTAAAACAAAAATAACATGCCTTTTTGCAGTTACATATACTAGCCTCAGTAGTTTTGCCTGTGCGTTGATATATCAATTTCTCTTTACTGGTTATTGTAAACAGTCAACAAGATGATAAAATATTCAATAACTAAAGTTTATGGGTATAACAGACTAGCTGTCGACTCCCTCCATGCGGAGTTAAAAAAAACATTATTTAGTAGCCTATGTGTTCTTCCTATGTTCTACATGTATGCCAAATTTCATAGAGATCTGTTCAGCCGTTCTGGAGATACCTTCAAACAAACATCCATCTAAACATTCGCATCTATGTATATAAAAGAAAGTCTTGTTAGTTACACTATTTATAACTCAAGAACGACTTTACCGATATGGCTGAAAATTGGTGAGGAGTTAACCTAGAGCCAGGAGACGGACATGGGATACTATATATATCAAAAGGTGGCAAACGAGCGACCGGCCACCTGTAATCGCTGAAATAGCGAAGTGAGCGTTGCCCACAGACATACATACGCAATTGCATAAGCGTTGCCTACCTTTAATCAACGGAGGAGCGGATGCACAGAAAGTAAATGTTTTCCCTTTCCATGGATCCTCTCAACCAGAAAGTCCAACTTTCAGTTCCCATCCTTTCCTTATAAGAAAAAGGGTGGGAAGGGAAAGAGGACTAAATTAGGCCCCCGAGACGCACACTCATCAGACGCAACGCGGAATTGCTTCCACTTGACGCCTGTGTTCTGTGTGGTCGTGGTATTTCACCGAGAGAATCGGTCAATTCGTGCGAAGATGTTAAAGCGGGCTCTACCACTGGTAAACCTTACCTCACCTAACCTTCTTTCATGTCTTCTTCGGAATTGACTATAATGGCGTTATGAAGGATTGGGAACAAGTAAGTCCAATAATTTAAAGTATTTATTTTTCAAAAATTACAAATGTAAATTCTTCTATCTTTGTTTAGTTGTTTTGTACTTAAAATTAAGTTGCAATAACTAATTACCTTTTTGGAAAGCTACTAATGTTAATAGACTAATTTTTTCTGTATTGAAGTCGGTTAAAAATTTTGAGGTTATATTTTATTAATTTTCAACTCACCAAATCACTTCTTCTCATTGTGCTCTTCAATTTACTGACTGGAAATTCTATTTATGATAACAACTGCATTATAAATTTATCAAAATTGCATAGAATATGAATTAATTTTGATAAATTGTCTTTAAATAATCATGAAGGTGCAGCATGGTCACTGATTTATAAAGAACGATAAACAAACAAGATCTTATAAATGTAATGTGTTTATCAACTCGGTCATCGAAAGGTCGAATAATAATTAGGTAAACATAATATTTTTGTTATTTATTCTGCGTGTTTCCATTACTCAAATACAGATCCAAGGACAAGCAGAAAGATATTATTATGTTTTATTTTTTACGATTATTTCGGCAATGGAAACGCACGCTACAATGTATAAATTTGTGTACATTATTAATCAAATTAACTTTACTACATCGTTCTCATATCCCAGTAAGTCCTGAACAAGCTTGGAACTTATTTCTCAAATAAAGTTGTCGTGGCTGTCTGGATGGATGTTTGTTTGTAGGTATCTCCGGAACTGCTCAACGGATCTCGCTGAAATTTGGCAATGATAATAGTCTGGAAAAACACATAGGCTAAATAAGTTTTTTTCTTCCACGCGGACGGAGTCGCGGGCAACAGCTAGTCAACAAATACACTGTGAAACAATTTTGTTAGTTCGTTATCCAGCACCAGGCTAAGTACCATTAACAATTTACTGAATTTACAAAAATGACCTTCAAATAACCTCACTACAAAACTGCATTACAACATTTGTATTAGTAAATATTATTATCTCTTTCACTCCCTTGAACAAAACAGAGATAACAATATTAGTACAGTCACTGTCACTTGTTTAATTCACGTTATTGAATGATTAATTAAAACTTAAGACAAACTGAATGCGACTCCATGGGGACTTAATTAACTCGTTTGTTCGGTCACAGTCACGGGTGAGGTTATGGAATAAAACTTTAATATTAGTTTGATTGCCAATCAGACTTGTACAATACGAAACATTTGGAATAGAGCATCCTTATTTTGATTCATACTTCTAATGTTATCGTGGGTTTTGATGAAGCATTTGTACAAATTCATATTATCGTCCTCGTTATTCTCATTGAAAAAAATTAGATTTTAACAGTGTTAAATCCGCAATAATATCTTTTGCTCAAGTGCGGTGATACTTTAAACAATTTCCATCATCATTCTGGCCTTATCCCTACGGACGGCCGATACAGTATGTACTCGTCCACACATCTCTATCAGCCGTCATATCTAAATTTACTTTCTTCTTACACATATCATCTTTCTCACTATCCATTCCTACTTTCTTTGGTCTTGCTTTGTAGCATAAACAATTTTGATATGTACATATATTTTGAACATTTTCATTTTCAAATCGCAATAAGCGTTCAGAATATGGATATAAGTATCTCCATATTCAAGGGAACGGCTGCCGAATTTCGCGGTTGACTTATCATAGATTGTTGAAAGGTCAAAATACGGGCACCTTGGTGTTAGTTTACACTAAAGGTGGAATGTACACGTGTAGAAAAGCTATATCTTTCTAGTTTTAAAAGCGAATGTTTGGATGTATGTTTGTTTGAAGGTATCTTCAGAACGGCTGGAGGATCTCGCCTGAAATTTGGCATAGATATGGAACATAATCTGGAAGAACACATTACGCTTCTAACTATTTTTATTTTGCGCGAATGCAGTCCTGGGATACAACTAGACAAAATTCCTAAAAATGTTAGATCAAAAACAATTGAACCAAAATTTTAGAGATACAAAAAATTTGTATGAAATTATAGACAAAATGTCTTAGTAATTTTTTTAGAAGCTAATGATTCTAATGTAAACACAATTTGATTATGGATTATATTACATATTTAATGTACATCATTTTCAAAAGTCTTAAAGGTTAAAATTATTTAGTTTAAAATTAAATATACTATTGTGCTTGACAAAGGAAGAAAAACGGAAGTTTTCAAACAACTATTTACTGTATTAGAGTAACAGAATTAATAGATATGTTATCTAGTTGGTAAACTTTTGTTCTTAGTTTGACATTACAAGGAACTTTTACAGAAATCATTTTTTTCTATTAGGATTACCAGGGCAGTGACACGGCTTTGGGCAGTTTGGTTTTTTCTCGGAGGCGGGGGGTGCTGGTGGTGGGAGACATGGCTTATTTTTATCTTTCTTCAAGCAAGACCCACCTCCTTCAGGCTCGCTTACAACCTGCTTCATTTTATTCATCAAATGATTGATCTGGTTCGCCAATTGACCGACAGTTCTGCACATTTGTTGTAGTGTTCCCAATGAAGAAAGATCTGCACGAGGATTTTTAAATGCATCGCCTGAAGGATCATCCGTACTGGGCGATGGGTTGATACTTACTGATGAGGATCGAGGTGCACATGGCTTGCCGATAGGTGGTGTTGGTGCACTCGGTAACTGTGGAAAACTATTCCTTTTACAATCTATGCCACATTTAGTCAACGGACACGCTGGTATTAAATTCGTCGACGTTTGATTTATTTTGTCCGGTGCTTTGTTCGATGGACATTCCTTGTTGTCACACTTTGCCGGACGGTTCGCCGGACACTTTATATTAGTACAACTGAACGGTGTATCCGTACGGTATTCTTTTGGTTCACTCGTTTTACAATCCGGACAGGGGCATGTTACTTTTATGATACCTGTCTTTATATCTTTAATTTTACCTGGGGTATAGTTTAAACACTCGAAATGCATCCAGGTTTTGCAAGCACCTTTACATTGTAAACCATTTTTCAATGTGACGGGACCCAAACAAATTTTGCAAGGATTTTTTACCTTACTGCACTTGGACATTTTTGTTGAATGTTCAGCACCGTTTCAAGTAAATGAACATGGTTGGCTATTTTATTTCTGTGTTTTGTGAATTCATTATTTTAGGACGGCATGATTTGTAAAAAAATATAACTGATAATTGACAGCAGATTTAGACGTTGTCACTTTATATATATGTATATCGTTTTTCTTCTTTTTGTACATTTACTATGACGTCTAAGAATAAGATCTAAATGCAAATAAATGTTATCTATAATACTTAGATAATTGAACTGTTCCATAATAATTAAAATATCACACTTATAAAATACGGTTGTTATATACTATTATTTTTATTAATTCTTTTATAATAAGGTGGCAAAGGAGCGAGAGGCCACCTGAGATCGTTGAAATAGCGAAGTGGCCGTTGCACATGAATAATTGCATATGCCTACCTTTAATCGACTGAGGAGAGGATGCACAGAAAGAAAATGTTTTACCTTTCCATGCATTCCCTCATCCGGAAAGTCCACTTTCACTTCTCATGATTTCCTTCTAAGAAAAAAGGTGGGAAGGGAAAGAGAACTAAATGAGGCCTCCGGGACGTACACTCATTAGACGAAATGCGGAATTGCTTCCACTTCACGCATGTCTTATGTGTAGGTCGTGCTATTTCACCAGGCGAGCTGGGACAATTCGTGCGAAGATATCAAAGCGGGCTCTACCACTGTTAAGCTATTAATTCCGATAGTATTAGTTTTCAAGTTATATTGTGTTAGGAAAGCGTATTGAGTCATCATAGTTTCAACGACACAAAAAACATGAGAATGTAAAGAGCTGACAACACGAATCTTTGAGCTAAATCACATAAACCTATTATATTTATATATAAATAATATTACTAAACATATATAACATATACATTCATCCGATGTTCTTATGCTGGAGGAAAACATCGTGATGCAACCTGCACATATCTGAGAAGAAATTCAAATATATGTGTGAAGTCAACCAACCCGCTCTGGGCCAGCGTGGTTGACTATGGCCTAGTCACCCTAACTTAGGGTAGGCTCCGAGCCCCTCGGTGGGGACGAATAGTGAGCTGATGATGATGATACATATATTATTATATTTAAATCTCTTTCATAACACGACAAATAATCAAATACTTTGCCCATAATAGCCTCACATCGAAATATCCTAATCCTACTCACTATATTTTGAGAAACGATAAAAAAAATCAAATAAATTTTAAAATATTTATTAGTCAAATTATATACAGAAGCATTGCAAATATTTCAGTACAAACTAAGTACCAACTAAGTACTGTCAGATCGCAGTATCATATTTACTATGAACAGTCGTCTTCTCGAATGCTTCCATCATGCGACACATTAATTCTTTGAGTTGTCCAGACAACTGACCGACTGTTGTACACATTTGTTCCATAGTACAATATAAAGACTTCTGTGTGTCCCGCGCTTTCGACAACTGAGAGTCAGACGATGAGATGTATTTTGGTGAAGTTTCTGCATCACGAGCTGAAACAAAAGAGGCCAGCTTTGTTAACAATCAATGAAACTCACGCATCCTTGATGAGTCTAGCCATAGATAATGGTTTGAGATTTGGCGCGAAATTTGGTAAAAATGGCGCTACATGCAATTAGGTTATATTCTTGATAGTGTCCTTAGGTCGTACATAAAACGACTATTTGATATTTTTCCGTCTCATGGCTTCACCGAGATTGTCACAAGGGATAATACTACTAAAGAAAAAACCTGGAAGCTCAATATCACTCATGTTTTAATCATGTAATTTGCCACATTCGTCTACAAAGAATTCGTAGCCAGATAATGATCTAGTCTACTATTCAAAATTGTTATCCCTTACCTATACTTCTTTTTGTATCTTTCTGTATCCACGTTGATCCTGAATCTGTAAATATTAGATACTACAAATTTAAAGTACAATATATTTCATATAAATTTAAACAAAAAACATATCGTCTTAAGTCAGTCGGGTAATAAAATGAACAAACTTTGACAAAAAGGCTAAGGCCACAATAGATTTCATTTACTACTTATTGAGTATATATATATAGTACCAGCGGGGCTAGACAAAGTGCATTCACTCCGAAACGATTCCGTAACGAACTTCAAAAATGACAATAACTTTCGATAAGCCACGTGATAGTCGCACGTTAATCCCGTACATTTTTGAAATTCATTATGGAATCGCTTCGGAGCGAATGCACTTTGTAAGCCCCCCTGAATATGTATTAACGTATTGTTTTATACTAACCGTTACATACAGATTCATCGACAAAAGAACAAGATAAAGATCGTATCGGCGAACACATTTTGTTTTTCACTTTCGAACAATGCGAATGAGAGCAATTCGATTGTTGACATCTGCTCGGCGCTGGGAAGTAAGACTTGTAGGTACTAGTGTCACATTTCTTCCTACAGCTCGTACTTAAAGAGTTCGGAAATGACGAAGATTCCGGTGGCCAGTTCATAAGTACGGGTGGTGTTGATGAACGATCAAATCGCTTCACGGAACATCTAGACCGCATGTTAGCTGTTATACTAGACGGAGACGGTTCGGGCAGAATAGTCTGGTTTGTCAAATGGTACATACTAGGGCATTCCGTTGACTCACATATCGGTAGACTGTTGGCTGGGCATTGAAAGTTTGTACATGCGTATGGAGAATCTAGTACTATTTCCTTTGGTTCTGACGAGTTGCAGTCGGGGCAAGGACAAGTGATTCTTATCAAACCTGCTTTGATATCTTGAATTTTGCCAGGTGTGTAGTTTAAGCATTTGTAATGAGCCCATTTTTTGCAAACACCCTTACACTGGACCCCTGTTTTGGTCGTTACACTGCGAAAGCATAATTTGCAAGGGTTTTTGACTTTTGAACATTTATTCATTCTCCTTTTCTTCCGGTATGAAAGTGACTCGAAAAAAATTCATTTTGGGCTAATTTCTTTGTATTCTCTACTTCATTTTCTGAAAGTATGGAAATTAAGGTTTTGGTAACTGAATTCAATTGATACTGAAATAAATAATGCAATACACTCAAAATTTAAGAAATCATTTTTTACTGCACTATATCAAATTGACATGGCACAATATCAAATGACAGATGTCTTGAAAGAAAGAATACTGACTGGTTTGAGAACATTAACATGAAAACTTCTTAAAGTTC